TGACAGTGATGGGAAGAGAAGAGCTGTTTCCGCCTGAGTAAGTGTGTTTTTCTCTCAGCCCCTGCCGAACACATTACCATGAACACGACTGCAGACATCCACTGCAACCTAACAAGGTCTTATTCCTTGCAGTTTCTCAAAAACCTCATTAAAATAGACAAAACACACCTGTTCCTCTCAGACAGGGCTGGTTTAAAGCCATAAGGAGAAAACGGCTCACATCTTTCTTATAACTCGCTTTGCTGCAGCTGCTATTGGAGCGTCTGAAGAAGACCAGGACTCCCAGATAATGGGGTTATACAATAGCCAGTGGCTTCTGCGGGGCAGGGGGGTTTGATGGAGAAACTGTAATGATAGATGTCCTGCTGTTCCTGGACAATTACCAGTGAAATATGGCAAATCAGTCTCCACTGTGGACGAGTCGTGACAAGTTCACCTGACCATGCAGAAGACAGAAATCTGTGAACAAACGACAATTAGTGAACAAAGGAGTAGTTCACTTTTAAAAGACTTTTGCTGATAATTTACTCACCCCCATGTCATCCAAGATGTCCATGTCTTTCTTTCTTCAGTCGAAAAGAAATTAAGGTTTTTGATGATTTTTCTCCATATAATGGACTTCAATGGGAACCAAATGGTTCACGATCCAAAAGACAGTTTCTGTGTCTGTTCAAAGGGCTTTAAACGACACCAGACGATGAATAACGAAACGAGCGGTCATTTCAAAAATAATTACAAGTTTTATATATGCACAAAAATTGGATTTCGATGGACAGTTTTAACAAGGCTATATTTCACCACAGGAAATTCCTTAAATTGCTTAAATCATTTGTTGTTTGATTTCAAATCAAATTCACTAAACAAGTGGTTGTTTATTCGAGCATCTTGACCAGACTGACACTGGAACACTGGCTCAGCCAATGGCGTGAGTTTGGGGCGGGACTATCAGTTTGTTCGACCAATGATAGAAGCTGGTCCTGAATTCTATTGGTTTAAAATCCATTTGGTGATGCTGGTGGCACATAGCTTTACTTTAAGCTGATTTAAATTAAAAAAAGATCATTGATTACATTATTTTGTCCTGTAGTCCAGTAATTAAAAACACTATTGAGAATAAAAAACAAAAAGACAGATACACACATTGCATTAATGAGCATTTGAAGGGAAATGTTCTGCAAAAAAAAAAAAAAAATCTAAATGGTCCTAAAATAGGCCTCACCTTATCATTTGTTTTTGATCTTAGTTTCGGGGCCGACTCACTGTGACCCACGATTTCTATGAGATTCATCTGTAAATATTCAAAGCTTTCCAGAAACAGGCAGGCACGATTGAGACATAACGCGAGTAGGTGAACATTTTCAAAAAAAAAATCAAAGCGTGTCACTTCTAGTGAAACATTTTCATATGTAAATCTACCCACAAAACATCCCCAAAATAGCAGCTTGCTCTGTATCTGACACCTCAAATGCATCTGAAATACAAAAGACCAGCTCTGAGTAAGATCTCATCTGGGCCTGTTCAATGTGCAGCCTGACAGCTAATGCTTTTATGTGGATAGACAATTCCTCAGACACACGAGGGGACGGATGTGTGCGGCTGGCCTTGAATAATGCACGGGGAAACCAGTGTGACTGCTTAGAGAAACATGTTGGAGACTTTAGTCAAGCAAAACACTGTTTGTATTCAGAGTTATCTTCCTGGAAACACAAAAGGCCAGTTCAGAATGAGCACAGGCTACCAAAGAAATGCACGCAACCACACTGGCATTTTAATTGATCAGTTTGCCATCTTTCTAGCAAACGTTTTCCGTTTATTAAAGAGACATTTCGTTTTGGTTATATAAAAACGTTTAGAAACCGTTAACTAGAACGAGCATGGTGTGAGACACATACAGATCGTTACCCACACATCTGCTCTATACAGACTTCAAGAACGATTCACAAGAATCACCTTCATCAAGAGAAAGGTCACGGCACGCAACACACAGCCATTTACAAACATTAGAGAAATGTTACTTTCAATAAATGCAGAAACTCACCGTGCGACAGGAACACCGTGACCACACCGGACGCGTCAGAAGCTTTAAATCAAGTGAACTATCTGCACTTTAGCAGAGCGCTTCCTCATTTTCATGGAAAATCTATAAAGATCTGTGATTTTCAAGCCAAATCTTAAAAAAGTCTAATAATTATTTATAGAGATGCTTTAAATTGGTTAAAACATGTTTATGTTAAAATGGTAAATTACTGTAAAATTGCATTTGTCAGAACTTTGACAACTTTGAAAACTTTTGCTTATGTGTGAAAAATTTTTTATTCATTTTTTTTGCTATGATTTTCATTAATTCATCACATATTTAAATAACTTTTGGCAGTTTTGTGGAGTGCAAATAACCTATTTGTTTTTACCAATGAAAAAAAGTAATTAAAACTAAATAAAATAAATGTATCAAAACAATATATTATAAAAGTAAAAGTAAAAATAAAATAAAAAAAATATTTGCGTGCAAAAATAAAAGTAGCATTTTTGTTAAAATTTATGCAATTATAAATGAGTGTTAAATAACTGTAATTCTGTTGTCAAAAGTTGTGGAAACCCTGTATTTCCCACTTATAAATATTTTATTAACAATATCAAATGTGTCAAATTCGTTACAAATTTAAAGAACTTTTGGCACAAATATGAAATGCAAATAACCTAGGTAAAGTCACTAAAAATGATTTTTTTATGTGAAAAAAAAATACTAAATTAAAATAAAGAAAAACAAATTAAATTAAATAAATGTAACATTTACCGTTTAAAAATGAATTTTTTTAAATTTAAATAAATAATAAAAAAATGGGTTTTTGTTAAAAATCAAACAGTATTTTACATTCTACAGATTGATTTAACGTCACTTTGCGTCTACGCTCAAGCGTGCGTGTGTTAGCCTGTCTGTGGTTCGTGATCGACGCTTTTAGTGCAACTCGCTGTCGACAGCTTCCAGTGTAGACACGGTGTGTGTGGAAAACAGAGCGGAGAGAGAAAGCTAAAGTGGTTGGCAGTGCAAACAAACTGCAAAATTAAAGCAGTCACTAGTTCAGTGTATATATATTTATATATATATATATATTAAGGACAATTATACAAAAAAAGTAATTACATAACTTTCAGTCTACACGACGAGCAACGTGGTCGTGGTCACAGTATTTACACGGGTGAGACAAAAGCATGTGCTTGTGGTCAGGGGTGCCGCTAACAGGGTGAAAGTTAGGACGATGCAGCAGGGGGTGCTCATTATAACGCCCATATAGTGATGGGGACACTATACTGTCAAAGAGCACCGTCCTTCGGGTGAGACGTTAAACCGAGGTCTTGACTCTCTGTGGTCATTAAAAATCCCAGGATGGCCTTCGAAAAAAATTGTAAGAATTTGGCATTGGCCTCTGTCCATCATGGCTTCCCAATCATCCCCATTTATACACTCTAAAAATGCAGGGTTGTATTTTTAAATTAGATTTTCAACCAAACAGTTGGGTTTGTTCATATTTGACCCAAATTTGGGTTAAAACAATCCATTTTTTAGAGTGTAATGATTGGCTTAATTACTCTGGTGTGTGGTGGGTGTTCTGGCACAAAATGGCTGCCGTTGGATCATCAGGTGGTGCGTCACATTGGTGGTGTTTGCTTTGAGTGCCCAGAAAGGCGCTATATAAATTTAACAAATTATTATTATTATTAGGGCTGCACGATTAATCGAAATTAAACCGCACGCGATTTGGCAAAGGCTGCGATTATTTAATGCGCATATTGTCAGTGCAGTGCGACTGTCATCAGTAGTAAATGCTCAGTAGTAAAAGCCAGAGGGTTTCTCACACACACACCCCGCCGCAGAAGTACAATAACACACATTATTCCAGGAAACCCCTATCGCGCATCATCGCTGTCACTGATTGAAACGCTTTGATTGATTGAACATGAATAAGGCAGTTGTGTGTTTATTATTCATGTGTAAGAAGCTCATCATCTCACAGAAGATGCTCAACTGTCGTTATGAAGTGATTTTGGAGTAAAATGTTGTCTTTTGTTGGACAAGAGGTTCATAAATGCTTTTCACGTTTGGAAAGATGTTTGACGCGTGTTGCTTTTTCAAACGCACGTTATAGACCAACGCCACTTTTGCGTCATCGTAGGGTAACGCCCCCTTTTGGGGGAAAACACCTCTATACTGTCTATGGGAAAACAAACGGATTCCCATGAGAACAGAACTCGCACTAGATCTGCAAAGTTTCTTGATAGCAAAAATGGCACAAACTTAAAGAAGCTAACGTTACTGAATACAGGGTTACAGAGGTGTCCCTTTGAAATGGTCGAAAACTGGATTAATGACCCCACACAGCGGCCAAATATGGACTATTCAGACATACGTTACCACTATCCCAAGTAAATAGCCTTTTTATTTATTTATTTATTTATTTATTTATTTATCATTTACACACTCACAGTAGCCTATGACAAACTACTAGACGATGAGGCCATGTCACTTGGATCATATTTAACTTGATTTAAGCTATTGACAGTTTTGTTGTCGACTAGCTATTAGAAAGACTAAGCTGTTAGCAGCTAACGTTACCTTATTAGACTATGTCAATAGCTTAAATCAAGTTAAATATGATCCATTCATCGTCTAGTTTGTCATAATGTGAGTGTTAATGAAAAAAATGCTACGTGCTTACTTGGTGATTAACGTTAGATGTCTGAATAGTCCATATTTGGCCGCTGTGTGGGGTCATTAATCCAGTTTTCGACCATTTCAAAGGGACACCTCTGTAACCCCGTATTCAGTAACGTTAGCTTCTTTAAGTTTGTGCCATTTTTGCTATCAAGAAACTTTGCAGATCTAGTGCGAGTTCTGTTCTCATGGGAATCCGTTTGTTTTCCCATAGACAGTATAGAGGTGTTTTCCCCCAAAAGGGGGCGTTACCCTTCGATGACGCAAAAGTGGCGTTGGTCTATAAAAGACTCAAACTCGCAGTGCTTTCAGACGTAGCCGTGCTTCACTGACAAGCTGCACATAACTAATAATGATTTCAAAATCGCGATAAACCAAATCGGCTTCATGTTGATTGCGATTATCGTGCAGCCCTAAACTTGCTAGCGGCACCCCTGCTTGTGTTGAACAAGGTGTTGGACTCAACAGTGGGATCCAGTGGCGGTGTAGTTGGACATCTCTCGGCGGATCGTGCTGAACGGCGACAGCTCCAGTTCAGTCGTGCACTCGTGCTCGTTGTCGTCGCTCGCGGTGGCCGAGGAGTGTGTCGAGATCCCACAGCAGAAACAGCAACACTCGAGGAACGCCCGTCCGAAGGGTCGGCACAAGCAGAGCAACAGAACCGGCGTCACGGCGGCCCGTAAGAACAGCAGCAACTGACTGATCAAGTGCAACAGAGCCATGGTGCTCTGCGGGACCCGGCCGCCATGTACGCCGAAACCATGTTGCACACGTTCTCCGGCACCACACACGCCCCGTACACGATGGCTAGCGCCACGACGGTGCAGTTCATTTGGCTTTCCAATCGGATTTGCTTCTTGTTGCCTCTTGCGCAGCCGCGCTCGGCACGTCGGATCCGCCGGGCCGTCGCAACCGAACTCCCGATGGTGAAGAGCGTCGGCAGGCAGAAGTAGCAGCCGAAACACCACCACAAACGCGCGCCTTCGTACGTCAAGCCGAGCACGTATAGCGTATCGGGCAGGGAGGTGGAGATACGGATTAGGCAGCGTTCTGATTCTAACGCGCCGTCGCCGTTTTCCGACACCAGCTGGCGAATCAGGAGCTCGGGGAGGGCGAGGAGTAACGCGCCGATCCAGATGACGGCTAGTTTGGCGGCGGTGGAGGTGCAGTTCTCGATCATCTCGTAGTACATCTGGACGTTGGTCGCGGCGCGGAAGCGGTCGATGCACAGAGCGCAGAGCGTGAAGGTGGTCACGCCGAGAGACGCCACCTGGGGAAATACAAGAACACACACACGTTTGCTCATTAAATATGACAAATTAGCCTGATTCATTCAAATGTATTAATTAAACGATGTTTTGAAGATGTGGGGCACCATTGAATCCATAGGAAAAGAAAGACTATGGAAGTCATCAATGTTCTGTTTCAAGTGTTCAACAGATGAGGGTAAATAAATGATGACGGAATTAACATTTTGGGGTGAACTATCCATTTAATATATTTAAATGAATTCAAAAGTCAATTTTTTTTTAATTCTTAATACCTTATTAAAATTTAATTTAACTCACCGTTATATTTACACCGTTTAAATTTAATTACGCTCTAAAAAATCTAAAGTTGTTTCAACCCAAATTTGGGTTAAATATGGACAAACCCAAATGTTGGGTTAAAAATGCAATAAAAAATATACAGTTAAAAAGTGAAAGTTGAAGTTGGGTTAAAATTTTAAATGACATTTTTAACCCAATGTTTGAGTTTGCCCATATTTGACTCAAAATTGGGTTAAAACAACCCAACATTTTTTAGAGTGTACTATTAACATGGTTTCAATTTAATTAATATGCGATAAAATGGGATGGGAAAATTGATAACATTTATTTTCATTTTTTTAAAGGAATGTATTCATTCATTTTTGATTTCCAGGAATGCCATCGAGATCCATTACATTTCAACTGTTATCCCGTCAGCCCTCACTCTAAAAAATGCTGGGTTGTTTTAACCCAATTTTGGGTCAAATATGGACAAACTCAAACATTGGGTTAAAATTTTAATTTTAAAAAATGTAATCCAATGGCTGGGTTTGTCCATTTTGACCCAAAATTGTGTTAAAACAACCCAGCATTTTTTAGAGTGCTGTTTGTGTGATGCTACATTATATGTCAGTAGGTGTGTAAGGCCAGCGGCGTAAACAAACTGCATGAAAAAGAAGTCTGAATATCGTCTGGCAACTCTCTGAACTCAGTCCTACAGCTGGAAACTGTCTCCTTATTAATCGTTCAGCATATCTAAACCAACAGCCCTCACATTTCCAGACTTCTGCTGTGTTATCGTGACAGACGAGCCCAGCCGTTCATTCACACGGCACAGAGAAGGGTCCCAAACCCTCTGAACACACACTTCCACTGTCAAACGCGACATACGTCGTGAATATTGCCACAATAAATTGGATGATGTGAAAGAGTATTTACCGAGGCAACACAAAAGAAACAACACAACAGCAATGACTGGAGAGATTCTTGGCCCCGTTCTCGCAGCTCATCCCAGCGGATCATACAAACACAAGTGAAAGAGGCAACCAAGTGTTTGTCTTCATTATCATAATTACAGAGCAATCAGGCACATCAGCATCAAGGAGGAGACAATTAGCGGAACGCGTTTGCGATGAAAACCAGACCGCCTTTATCATCTCCAAAAGCACACTGGTTAGACGCTTCATCACTCGGATAAAAGCAGTGCTCAGAATCCATTATGGAGCAGTGTGTGTCCGTTAAGATGCTGTAATGCTGCATTACTTCCATAGGTGTGAAACACATCCATCTGAAACCATCTTCTGTTTAAGGATGAGCTTATTCTCAACAGCAGGTCAGAAAGTGATGCTCCCTGACTGAAAGAAACAACAAAACAAGAATAATAATAATAAAAAAACCCTCCTTTTCCTTTAGAGGGTTACAGATTTTTATTTTTTTTCCTCCAAATCACTTTTCGGGTTGCAGATATAATATTTTATTTATTTATAAATTAATTCATATATATATATATATATATATATATATATATGCAGATATTATATTTGATTTATTTATAAATTAATTCATATATATATATATATATATGAATACATTTATAAATAAATAAAATATAATATCTGCATATATATATATATATATATACTGTATATATTTCCTTTCCTACAGAGGGTTGTAGATATTTTATTTTATTCAATTAATTAATTTCTGTATTTTATTTTCTCAAAATCGCTTTTCCTTTGAAGGTTTGCATATATTTTATTATATTTATTTTATTATTTTATTCTATCCCTCCAAATCGCTTATCCTTTGAAGGTTTTCATATATTTTATTATATTTAATTTATTATTTTATTTTATACACCTGTTAATTATCCAATCCGCTTGTCCTATGTAGGTTTGTAGCTAATTTAATTTAATTGTTTAAAGTAAACTGTTTCATCTGCCCATAAAGCTTCCCATCAAACTCTTGTTATGTCGCAAAACTTGAAAGTGCATTAAGAAGAGCAATGGCTCCGTTTGATTAATTTCCTCATGATTCGACACATATGTGACTTGACCTGAAGTAAATCACACACACACACCTCAGTCCGGATCTCGACCCTGACCTGACATTCGCAGGCGTCTCTGAGCGGACAGGTTTCAGCAGCGGGAGATGATGGTGTTTGGCTGAGATGGGCTTCACTAACGCCTCATTAATTCTCTGATTAAGAAGCTTTCTAGAAGGATGGAGGTGCTGGTTATTAATCTGGTTTAACGGCTACTTTCAGCCTGGAGGCCGTCTCTGGGCCACTGCCAGCAGCGAGGACAATAATTCTCACGTATTGACAAATGAGACAGCACTGAAGCATGAGCGAGCTCGAAACAAAAGCTATTACAGTAATAGTGTTATATATATTATATTCAGCCACATAAATTCAGGCCATTAGAACGGGAGTCAACGGCCTGGATCAAAAACAAACACAGAGTGGGTTACTAATAAAATTAAAAGCCAACTAAAACCAGCCAAACAAAAAAATAAACTGAAATAAAATATAATTACCTACAAACCTACATAGGACAAGAGGTTTGGAGAATAAACAGATGCATATTTAAAATAAAATACCAGCGGAAAAGCAATTTGGACAAATAGAATAGAAAAAATAATGAAATAAAAATCTGCAACCCTTCATACTGTAGGAAAAGCGATTTGGAGGTAATAAAATGCAAAAATAAATAAATTAAATAATTGATTAAAATAAAATATCTAGGATAAAATAAATAAATTAATAAATTAATAAAATAAAACACCCACAACCCTTCAGTTGAGATCCATACAACCCTCCAGTCATAAGAAAAAATGGTTTGGAGAATTGAAAAAATAAAGTGGTACAATAAAATAAAATATCTCCAAAATAAATTCTGGAGAAAGTGTAAGTGCTGTTTGCTTGTATAAAATTCATCATCATCATCATCATCATCATCATGCAAGTGTTGAGCTGAACCGTCAGACTCGCTCATGTTTGCTCAAACGAGACGAGGATCCTGCAAATGTTGTGACTGATGCAATCTCCAAAAAGCTAAAGGCCAGTCAAAACACAAGTCAAGTTAAAACACTGCACCGACACGCATTCCCTCGACCTTTCCTAGGAAGAAATGTCAGACCTCAGATAAAACAAGCTCAATGATCACACACACTTCTTGAACTCCACAATATCCGCCTGAACACACCAGCAGGAGGCGACCAGAAAAGCGTTCGCTTGAGGATGCAGACCTCAGAAAACAAACACCATATGTTTGCAGGAATTGAGGAAACATGCCGAGTTCACATCAGCGGCGCAACTTTGTTATTAAAAGTGGGTGGGACAGGTGTGTGTGTGTTGCTAACGGCAATAATAAATGCATAGATTCAATTATTTAAAGTGTGTATTCCGGTCCAGTGGCCGAACTTTTGCCTGGTGTGTCAGGGTTTGCACTCGTATAGGGAGTTTCTTGTCATCGAAACCGATTATGTTTATCAGTTGTATATCAGGCAGGGACACGTTTGTGTGTATTTTGTTTTGTAATTTCACCGGAGAGTCGCACCGAGAGAACTACAGCCGACTGTCAGCTAGAATGTGCGTTCTGCGCCTGCGTGTAATGAGCTAACCGTCTATTTCTGCAGGTATATTAGTCTATATTCATCATTCAGAAAGGAA